CATCGCCATGGATCGCGTTGAATGATACTATCACGCATCAAATTTTTTATGAACCGCGCGCAGAAATCACTGGCATATGAAAGATGTGGAGTACAGTACTGTATTTTTAAACAAACGGTGAAACTAGAATTTACAAGAAAAATTGTTCAGTTAGAAGGGCTTAGAAGAACACACCTGTGTTCATTTGAGGAATTCTCGATATTGACCACAGCTTCGAGAAATGAAAACTTCGTTAGTTGCATTCAAAAAACATAGTGCATTCTTTCAAGACATATGACTAACGTCCAGAACACAGAAGAGTAAAATGTGTTTAATTGCTAAATATCAAGGACTTTGTCCGACTGAAAAAAAAAGGTGCAGCGATATGAAAAAATACTCTTCCCGAAGAGAACACAGGAGCAAAAACGAACGAACAAACAACAAAAATACTCTCGAGCCAAGGACAAACTCAGCAAAATTTAAATTTTGAATACACAAAATGTGAATGTCTTTTTTTTCACTCATGCTAGACGCATTCGGGTGTTTGAAGGATCACGCCATTATGGTCCTGGCAATTAGTTCTTTCATGATCTCGTTCGTTCCTCCATAAATGGACTGGACGCGGGCATCTACGTAAGCCTTGCAAATGGGATACTCCCACATGTATCCCCAGCCTCCGTGGAGTTGTACACAGTCGTAAGCTCGCTTGTTCAGCAAATCTGATATCCTTCGTTCGAATATTTCAAAAAATCAGCGAAAAATGTTACAGGCAACAAGTACAACGATTTTTCCTCACCAGAATTTGGCCATTGAAGCCATAGCTCCATCCAACGCTTTGCGATTATGCAGTTCCAAGCACTGGTCGACAAATGCTCTGGCAACGACCACATCTGTTTTGATTTCCGCAAGTTTGTGCTGAATCGTCTGGAAAAGGGAAAACAAAGGATCAAATCTCTGCGTCTATCTCAAGATACCGTATGTTATCAGAAACCAGAGATAACTCTCAAACAGATGTTACCTTCGATTTCGTTGCATTCACAGACGTGCGAGGATATTCCACTTATCTATCATTTCCCCCAAAAATTACAGTCTGTCATTTTCTCATAATCATGCACAATGAATGTTGGATTTTACGAGGATGTCACACGGGATGAACTGGACAATTTTCAAAATTGGGAAATACACTTGAATCTCAATAACTCGAACATCCCCAAGTCGAATACCTTTCCACGTCACATTTTCAAG